AGGAAAACTAAAAATCTAAAAAAATGGGGTTCAAGGAAGATTTGAATTGGAAAAGAGAAGGACTGTTTGAAAGAAATTAAAATCTTGGAAAATCAAGAAAAATAAAGAAAAATTAGGAAGAATAGAAAAAAGTCATATTTGTGACATGTAAAGAAATTAAAAAAAAAAGTGAGAATCGGTGAGGGAGGTTTCAGGTCTTAAGAACTTGGATCATTGTTTTAAAATTTGACCGTAAGATGAAAGAATAGAAGGAAAAGGAAGGCGTTTGACGGCTTCGGAATAGACCTGATAAAAAATCAGGCTATTTATTTAAATTCAGAAGTTCACTCAAATTTTAAAATAATTTAAATAAAAAATTAAAATTTATTAAACGAGATTAATCCGTTAAATTTTGGGTCAAGTTTTGGATAAAAATTTTAAAGTCTCGTTAACCTAAATTCATATATATATTTTTTATTTTTATATAGATGAATTATATATAAATTAATTCATATATATAAATTAAAAATAAAAAATATATTTTATTAAATTAAAATTTTATTTTTATTTATTATATATAATTTTTATTTTTAATTTTTATATATATGTTAATTGAATATAATTTTATTAAATTTAATTCAATCATATTTTTTAAATTTTTTATTATATAAAGTAAATTTAGTGGTTGAATTTAATATTTATTTTTTTAATTTGAGTCAAATTTAAAAAAAAATTTATATTCAAAATTTTATATCGAATCAAATCTAAATAAATATATAAATTATTAATATTAAATATAAATGTGACCCAAACTCGACTTTATCTAACCCATTAACACTTTTACTTCGGAGTTTTCTGCTAAGAATATTTTGCCTATCCTTTCCTTGCATTTTGTTGCATCTACCTCGTAGCAGTTGTGATTGAGGCTACTATTCACATCATAATTGGTTTGCTTTTGGTCAAGTGATAGGTGCAAAATTAACTTATTTAAAGAGCAAAAGCCTCCTTCCTATAAAAAATCAAAACCCATTAAAACTATTACTTTGCTTCATAATTAAAGTCTTTTAAAATCGACAAAATACTTTATAAAATGGGGACCAAATCATCAGTTAGAAAGCCTACATTTGTAGATTATGCAATGGAGAATCGAATAAAGTTAGCATCACGAGGGCATGCGCAGCTACCAACTAATTTTGTAGGATCCACCACCAAATTGCACAATCTCAAATCTTAACCATTCATTTGAGGGAAAAGCAATGAAACCAGCATATAAGAGAGAGTTTTCTTTGTTTCTTTTTTTTTTTTTTAAATTTACTATCTAGGGAATTTTGGGCATCTTCTAATATATAAATATATATATATATTTCAAATCAATCCAAATAAAATTATTTATATTAAATTTAGTGAATTTATTAAAAATTATTTTTTCATAATTTTTTAATAAATTTAAATTCAGACAATTAGCATATAAGAGAGTTTTTTTTCTTTTTAATTTAGTAACTAAGGAATTTTGGATATATATATATATATATTCGAATTGATCCAAATTAATTTGTTTATGTTGAATTTAATAAATTTATTCAAAATTAACTTTTCGATTTAAATTTAAATAACAAAATATGTATATATATATATATTATGACTTGAGCTGTTGATAAGAGACTTATATATTACATTACTGAGAGTTATGAGGGACATTTTGTAAATCATAAATTTTCTTTAAAAGAGAATTTACGTTAAATTTATACAATTTCAAATTTATATTTAAATCTTATAAACGAAATATTCTAATATTTTTATTTTAACCAACTTCCATTGATGATAGTACATCCTTTTGAAATGTGCTAAAATCAATATATGCATGCATCTACTTACAATTTATATAAGATACATCAAGATTTTATGATAATTTCAAAAAATCAAGTTTGTGAGATGACAATGCATAATTACTAATGATGTAAATATATTGAATTCTATTTATTCCAAAAAATTATATTGAATTCTATTTTTTTCTAATTATAACATGGAGCTAATAAGATGATGTTCGACGTAAGTACCTTTTTAGGGATTTTGAAGATTTAAGAACTATTAATAAATCATAGGAGTACTTTTAATATTTTCTCTCATTCACGGGCTATAAATTTTTATAAAAAATTATACTAGCATTTTATTTAATAATATATCTATGTATCTATTTTTTAAAGAGTCAAATCACCTTTTAAAAAAATCAAAGTATCCGAGAATTTTTTTCATTAAAAAAATCAATATTATACTAGATTAGACTCGTTTTATTTAACGAAAAGGTTTTTGATTTGACATATAATTATTTATTGAGATTATATCGAATGTTCGATTCATAATTACTTATTTTAAGTTATCAGATATGATTAGAGGTGTAAACGAGTCGAGCCGAGTCGAATAGTGAGAAACTCGAGCTCGACTCACAACTCGAGATTCGATACTTAGTTCGAGCTCGATCGAGTTTTATTTTTCAAGCTCAAACTTGATTCGTGATTGAATTCGAACTACTCGAACTTGCTCGATTAAGCTCAATTAATATGTAAAAATAAGCTCGATTCGTATATTCGATAAGAGTTCGATTATTCATGCTCGAATTCGAACTCGGATTCGAAATATTTTATTAATTAAAATAATAAAAATATATTTAAATATAAAAGCTCGATTATGCTCGTGAGCTACTCGAGTCAGATATAAGAATACTCGAATTCAGCTCGATCGATAAGTCGAACTACTCGAGCTCGACTCGACAATAATCGAATCGAATTCGAATTTTTTTCGAATCGAACCCGAGTAGCTTGTGAGTATTAATATATCATTTACACTTTTAGGTATCACATATTTTACTTTAATTTAATGGATTGAATGATCTATTTATATCCAAATTTATTTTTACCAAAAAAAATCAAAATTATTTATAGTTAATATATATATATATATATATATATGTATATATATGGGATAAGATTAAGAGAAAAAAAAAAGTTTGTTCTCATTGACCTGTAACCTTTAATTTGTATATATCTTGTAGGTATTTTTATTTTGGAAAAAAGCTTGTTTTCAATCATGATCTTGTAGATATTTAATTTGCCTTAATTTTTTTAATTTATATTCTAACTTTTTTAATTTATTTTGTAGGTATTTTTATTATTGTATATTGAAAATATTTGGTTATTTGACTTGCGTGTATTGGTAAATGTTTATATGAAATTTGTAATATATATGTATTTTTTATATTTTTATTTAATAGAATTTATAAATAATTTTGTAAAATATTTTATATTCTTTTATAAATAAAATGGAGTATGTTGCTTACTTTTTATTTATTTATATATATTTCATATTCAAATAATTACTTTAAAAATAAATTAAAAAACTAAAATAAAATGACAAAAATTATAAAAAATACATTAAATATGATTGAAAATAAGCATTACCAATAGAAATATTAATTATTAATTATTAATTATTAACGACAGAATTTTAACTATTATTGATGAATTTTTTTTGTAAATTTAACATTTAAGTTTTTTAAAAAATTGTTAAAATAATATTACCCATGAAAAATATTTTTACCGGTGAAAATTTCATTGATAATTTATTAACGAAAATTTATACTATCTATAGAATTATATTACTAACTATGCTTATACCAACAAAATAATTTCGTAGATAAAACCGTCAATAATATTATTATGATGGAAAATGAAGTATTTCATTCATAATACTTCATTTTTTGGTAATGACAGCTCTAAATATAATGAACAAATTATGGATTTATGTTCTTTATATTTGGTTCATTCCCTAACAAAAAAAAAAATACAAGGCTAAAAAAAGTTTTGTTTCTTCATAAGTCATTCATAATTTAACACAATATTTCTTTATTTTTTCAACAAGACTTACATATGTCTGTGTGTATTTGTGTGTGTATATACATTGCAAATAATCCAAAGGATAATTAGAATATAATTATTAGGTTAAAGGGTTAAAAAATTGCTAAACTATAATTAAAAAAATCATCCAAACCCTTATTTTTTTTATTGCAATCAATTAATTTCTTCAACATCTTTTTAAACTTAAATTTTTTAAAATTTTCAATTTTTTTTAATTTTTTGGGAATTTTTAAAAAATATTTTTCAGTTTTTTTACTATTTTGGATTTTTTTAATTTTTTGAACTTATAAAATTTTTAGAATTTTATTTTAAATTTTAAATTTTTCATATTTTTTGACTTTTTTGGATTTTAAAAATATTTTATTTTATTTTTTGGATTTTTTAATTTTTTAGTATTTTCTAATTTTACAGTTTTTTTAAATTCTTTATTTTAAGAATGTGTTTTTGAATTTTTCATTTTTTCCTTTTTTCAATTTTTTGGAAAATTTTAAAAATTTTAATATTTTTATGAAAATTTTGGGAATTTTTTAATTTTTTTGAATTTTTGGAGATTTTTAGATTTTTTTAATTTTTCAGAAAATTGTTTTTAATTTTTTTGAATTTTTAAAAAAATTTTCAGATGTTTTTGAATTTTTTTTGAAATTTTCTTCTAAAATTGATGTGGCAATAATGATATGTTGATAATCAAAATTTTGACACATGTCATGATTTTATTAGCTATTGATGTCACGTTAGTAATTTGATAATCGTGTTTGTTTGAAATATCAAAGTTTATCACGAAATGAAAGTTCAAGTACTTAATTGTAAACATTTTATTTTTGTACCAAACTGATAAAAAAAAATCTATGGGCATTTTTGTATTTAACCCATTAATTAAAAATATATACAGAAAACATATTAAATATTAATTAAACTTCACAACTCACATGTATTAATATTAATTTGCCGGCTTTGGCCTCTGATAATCAAGAAAGGTAATGAATTTATTAAAGAAGACCCTTGTACTTTTATATAGAAGTGACATTGTTCAAGCCATATATGCAAAAGTAATTTCAAAATCATACTATAAAAATCAACAATCATATTGTCATGCATATCTTCTCAAATACCATGGCTAATCACAAAGAAATTTTGTTGCTAATGCTGCTAGCACTTTGTATCTTTTTCCCACTGGCTTTCGCAGTGAGTGAAGATCTTTTGTTCATCAAATACCACATTCACATAATCAACGATTTGCCTTCGGATTTGCCACCCAATGTCCCATCAGTGCTACTTCTGCACTGCAAGTCGAAAGACAAGGACCTTGGTCAGAGATCCATGTTGCAGCATGAGGATTACACTTGGGATTCAAGAATAAACCTTTTCAGAACCACCCTTTTCTTCTGCCAGGCATCGTGGGAAGGGAAGCAGAGGAATTTTGATGCTTTCGATGCCAATAGAGATGAACATCGTTGCCGAGAGTATCATAACTCTTGCCTGTGGTCAGTGAGGGATGATGGGTTTTATTTCAGCAACGATAATTCTACCTGGACTAATGAGTATCCATGGTAGAACTGGCGAAAATGATTATTATAAAAGTTTCAAATCTCAGCTATTTTTTTTTTAAATCCAGAATAAATAATGCTAACCGTTTCTTATTTAATTGAATTTCACTGCATGGCTTCATGTCTTTAGCTTTTGAAATTCATTGTGGCTGTTTTTTTTTATTATTATTATTTTTATTTCAAGCGATGGTATCATAGATATGGTTATCTATACACTATTAAAAAAATACTCAATATGACTATTTTGATTCTCTTTTTTTTTAATCTACAATTCTTTAAAAATTACAAATTTATAAAATTTATAAAAGAATCTAATAATTAAAAAGAATACAAAATAAAAAAAAACGATAATAAAAGTTTAAAAATCATAAAATTTTTGTAAAAATTCATTTGAATTGACAGTAAAATTAATTCTGATAAAATTGAGAATAATAATAAAAGTAAAATTGAGTACTATAGTAGTGAGATTAAAATTAATTATTGAATATATGTTTAGAGACAAAAGCAATAGTGATAATAAGATAAATTGTAATAAAAGAAAAATCTGAGATGAGAAATGGATGATTTTAGAATTAAATCGCTTGAGGCGGCAAAGAAAGGAAAAGTAAGGATAGAAGGTTAGGATTAATTTGAAATGTATCTTACACCTCGTAAATTTTGATTAAACTCAATAACAATTTATATATTTTTATCTCATTTTTTATTTTATTTTTTTAATTTTTAATTTTGTGTATGAATTAAATTTATCAAATTACTTTATAAAAAATAAAAATAAAAAATAAAATTATTAATTGAATAAATTAAATATTATTATTTATAATTTAAAAATATCAATATTTGAAAATAATTATCTTGATTTTATTATTAATTATTATATTATTCAATTTAAAATTATTTTTATATATAATTTTTCTAAAAAAGGATCACACATTGTGAGAACTAACGTTAAAATCAAACTAAATTGAGTTGATATAATAAAAAGTTCAATCTTAACTAAAAATTTATTACTCAAAAATCGAATCTAATTCGATTAAGTTTTTATTTTTAAACTTAAGTTCAATTATAAATAAAAATTAAGTTCGTTCAATTAAATTTATTTATCTAATAAAAACGAAATTCGATTTCTATACTCGATTTTAAGCTTTATTATTTATATTTGAATTCAAGCTCGAAGTGATATCTATAAGATAAAATATTAATTTTTTAATTAAAATAATAAAAATATATATTAAATTATAAATTTTTTATTAGACTCGTAAGCTTTTGAGTTAAACTTTAAGATGCTCAAATTCGATTTATTTAATAAATTAAATTATTTAAGTTTGAATTCGATTCGATAATTCAAAAAAAACTTTATTTAAATCTAAATAATTTATAAATACGAGTGAATCATTTACACTGTAACGATATATCAAATTATTTTATCTAATTAAATGACGACCCACGTGGGCTAGTCCAGTTAGTAAGGAAACTCTTTTTTTTTTTTGTTTGTTAATCAGAGTTTGATACTTGCAAAAACATTTAGAGATGAAAATCCATCGAGGCAGACTGAGGATTTGCGCAAGGCAGGAGACTGGTTGGTTGGATCGACAGGCTTTGTTGTGTGCTGGGGAAGGGGAAAAAGAGTGAAAAAGCCAGAGGAAAAGAAAGGGGAGAATCGTGTGGGACGGATTTTGAAATGATATTGTCACATGTGGCAGGCATCACCAATGTTTCTTACCAATGCCCAAAAAAGCCCATCAAAGTTGAACCAAAAAAAGGAAACCATAAGAAACCATAATCCAAAGAAACCATAACACAGCTTTTACCTTACAGTTAGTTTCCTGCATTTATATTTTAGCATAATCCAAAGAAACCATAAGAACCTCGCTACCAAGTAACCTGATAGTAGAGCGCTGGATTGTTAGTTACAATAATGTTCAAATCCTGGCAGCTTCAAGTAAAAAAAACAAAAACCATAAGAACCTATAATAGATGGCAGAATATATGTTAGCATAATTGATCGACGCATATTCCGGTTTAAAATCACAGCAATCATATTGCAACATTTAAAACAGTTTACTTTCAACAACAGAGAATATAAAAGATACTCCAGCTGAGGGAACTGAAACTGTTGTTGAAAAGCATAGCTGCAACACTTTCAGAGAATCTAATTCATATCAGAACGCTTGAGATACAAGTGTATGGAACAACTCCTGTACAATGGTGTTACTATATAGTATTGACTGGAGAAAGGAACTACCGAACTACAGAATCTGAGAGGGACATCAGCTACTCCCATTAGCTACAAACAGAAGCTTTCAGTATAACAGTTTTCTTTATAGAAAAATGTACATGCTATTATAATCTTTCCGGGTAAATAATGAGGAAGAATCAGCAGCAAAAAATCACCTCAGTTAATGGAAACTGGGAATAGTCACATACTTTCATGAGAATCATCTTTCAGAGGAAGATTTTAAGTGGGAGACATGTTGAAGTTGTCTTCTTGCCCTTTAGATTCCATAAGCATCACCACAACTTCGCGCATGGTCGGCCGATCAAAAGGAGACATGCTAGTGCATATTAAAGCAATTTTTAAGACAGTAATCATGTGATTAACAATGCTCTTATCATCGAGATTTAAGCGATCATCAAGTATCCCAGCAGTCAACGAGTGTTTGCGGACATAATGTCTCACTCGTGTGACAAGATCACCTCCTTCGTCCAATGGTTGGACAGGAGTCTTTCCAGTTAACAACTCCAGTAGAACAACCCCATAGCTGTAGGTGTCACATTTTTCTGTTACCTTCATAGTGTATGCATATTCTGTCATATAGAACAGATATATTTCAATAATCTAAAGCAATAAAATATCAATATCAATGTCCAAAGCACAAGAGAACAAAAAGAAAATGAGACAAACAGACAGAACATTGCATTCCTCACCCTAATTAGATCTTAAATTCTGTGCTCTCTAGTACTAAAAAATATGTTCTCTATCACAAATATCTCATTTCTAGACTGAATAACCACATAAAACAAACAAAAAATGAAAATCTACAATAAAGACAGAGAAAGAAAAATTTTTAATGCTTTTGATAGCAACAATAAATCACCATTAGTGGTATCTTCACGTATGGTCCTGTCTGATAGTAATAGTAATTTTTCATGAAACTAGAAAGTGCAAAGACAGAACTTACCGGGGGCAATGTAGCCATATGATCCAGCGACTGCTGACACTGACTTAGATTGGGGCATGTCAATCACTTTTGCCAAACCAAAATCACCAACATGGGCTTCAAAATTTTCATCAAGTAAGATATTATTGGACTTGATATCACGGTGAATGATCCTTGGTTTGCAGTCATGATGTAAATAAGCAAGACCTTCGGCAGCTCCTAGGGCAATCATGAACCGAGTTGACCATTCTAAGATACAAGAGGCCCCATGAAGAACTTCACCCAAGCTACCTTTTTCCATGTACTCATAAAGAAGCAGATTGGAACCTTGGTGATAGCAAAATCCATAAAGCTTCACAATATTTCGATGCCTAATCTTTCCTAGTGTTAGAATCTCAGCCCGAAAACTATTCTCAATGTTGTTTCCCTCTGCATTTGATGAGAGCCTTTTAACAGCAATGGTTTGTCCAGAATGCATAATTGCTTTGTAAACCGTTCCACATGCTCCCCTTCCAACAATACAACTCTCATGAAAATTATTTGTAGCCTCAATTAGATCTTGAAATGTAAACCCTTCCTTTGGATGAAAGTAAATATCCGAAGCTGGAGATGATATCTCCTTTTCTTGCGAGGATGCAACAATTCCCGGTGGACGTCTCATTTGATATATAAGAATTACAATGAGAATTATAGAAACCCCACCTACAACACCTGCAACTATCGTTATGATTCTTCCTCGTGTACCCTGCTTCACGGGTAGCATGGAAGGAGAAGATGGATCTCCAATGCAATTTTGAAGAGGCCTACCACAAAGCCCTTTATTTTCAAGAAAGCTGCTTGCAGGCATGTTCTGAAACAATGGGATGGTTGGTAAAGGTCCAGTTAAGTTATTGTATGAGAAATTGCATCCCATTAAACTTGATAGGTTATCAAATGCGCTGGGAATTACACCACTCAAATGATTATTATTGAGCAGAAGAAATTCCAGCAAATTAAGATGCCCAAGCTCTGGTGGTATTTTTCCAGTGAGGTTGTTATGGCTGAGGTTCATTGCAATCTGCAAGCTTGAAAGATAACCCAACTCTTTGGGTATCTCACCAGAAAAAAAGTTGCCACCCATCTGCAGCTCAGTCAAGCGTGAAAGGTTTCCTAAAGCAGCAGGTATATTTCCAGAGAAGTTATTTTCTGAAAGTTTCAAAATCTCAAGCTGTACAAGGGTTCCAAGCTCATTTGGTAAAGTATCTACGAAGCTGTTACGGCTGAGATCAAGTCGTTGAAGCAACTTGCAGTTAACTATCTCTTGTGGAATCTGTCCAGAAAGCAAATTAGATGAGACATTAAAAGTCACAAGTTGAGACAGATTACCTATTTCCTTAGGCAGCTCAGAAGTAAATTGATTGTCAGAAATATGAAGCCTTTGAAGCTTTTGGCAATTTCCAATATCTGAAGGAACTGGTCCAGAAAAGTTGTTCTGGTCCAATTCAATGGCAGAAAGATTCACCAGTTTGCATAATTCTGAAGGAAAGTTCCCTGTCAGCCTGTTCCCAACCAGACGAAGTTGCACTAATGTCTCACAGCTCTTGATCCCAGTTGGAATATTTCCATACAGCTTATTAGCTCCAAGGTTTAACAAAATAAGGTTAGCATGCCGGCAAAGATAAGGAGGTATTTTCCCTGTCAGATGGTTGTCTGAAAAATCAACAACCCAAAGTCGGCTGTATACTCCAAGCTGCTGAGGAATGGTACCACTCAGAGAATTGTCAAAAAGCTGCAACTGAACCATTTCAGTCAAATATTGGAAACCATAAGGAATGGGACCTGTGAGATAATTGATCGAAAGGTCAAGCTTTGACAAGTTCCTCAAGCTACTAAGCTCGTTTGGTATAACACCTGTAAGCTGGTTCTGGAAAAGGTACAATAAGCGTAGACCCTTCATCTTGCTGAACTCAGTTGGGATCTCACCTGTTAAATAATTTTCTGAGAAATCAATTTCTGTTGCAAGAGATAGATTCCCTATCTCCCTTGGAATGCTTCCATTTAATTGATTCCTGTAGAGATACAACTTCTTAAGAAACTTGAGGTTCCCAATCTCCATGGGAATCTGCCCCACAAGACCATTTGCATACAATGCAAGTGTCTCAAGGCTTGTACAGTTTCCAAGCTCCTTTGGTATAAACCCTGACAACTGATTCTCCCATAAAATCAGATCAGTTATGCTTCCTAGCATTCCAATTTCCTTAGGTAGTTCTCCTCCGATACGGTTCTGGGCAAGACCAAGCATCTGTAAGCTTTGACATCCACTTATTTCAGCAGGAATGTTACCAGAAATTGCATTCTGCCCTGCCCGAAATATTCTCAACTTCTGGAGGTTCCCAATGGACTGGGGCAATGGCCCGGTCAAATTATTGGTGTATGCCACAAACTCATCAAGTGAGGACAAATTCCCAAGCTCCTCTGGAAGGGAACCAGAGATTTTGTTATTGCATATATTCAAACTTCTCAAATAAGTGAGCTTACCCAATTCACCAGGAATTGGACCACTGAAATGATTGTTATTTAAATAAAGACCAACCAGAAGTGAACAATTTCCAATCTCCTTAGGTATATTTCCGCTGAAACCATTATAAGACAGATTAAAAACTGTCAAGTTGGTCAGACCACCAATACTAGGGCTCAGGGTTCCAGAAAGATTCATTGAGCTCAAATTAACAGACCAGACCACTGGCTCATAATCTGAAGAACAATTGACACCTATCCACCCACAGGGTGTCTCATCAGTAGACTTCCAGTTCCAAAGATTGTTGTATTCATCATGAATACTATTCTTAAGCTCCAGCAGCAGTTGGCCCTCAGAATTTAGCCCGTTTGCTACAGTAATCAGTAGAGCGGAAAGCAGTGAAAACCTCCAGAACCCTACTTCCAAAAGTGTCCTTGATTCAATATTCTTCAACATTTTAGTAAATGCCATAACTTCCTGCGCAACAGCAATTACTGGTATTAAAACCCCAAAGAAACGCATATACATAAAACAGCATATATCAAAACAATATAAACTTTTATAACCATTGTGAATGGTAGAATTTTTTAATTTAGACCACATACAGAAGGACCTAAGGACCGGTCATCAACAAATTATTTGCACTTCCCATTACACAAGAATGCAAAAAACAACATAATATTAAGTGACAAGCCAAATATAATATTCAAAAGATTCCACAATTCATCATTTTAACAGAAGGAAATATTTTAAAAGTCACCAAGAAATATTAACCAAAAGCGAGAAGAGAAAGAAACAAGTCGAAAACCCATACATTCATTTCTAATCATTCCATTAAAAGAGGACACCAACTATAAATTTAGAAAATTCAACCATGAATCCACAAAATTCAACCATATATAAAGTCAGGTTAATAGAAACCAGTTGAAAACCAACCATAAAACAACCAAACTTAAAAGTTAAAACAAAACTGGAAAGGGGAAATATATGAAAGATAAAGAAAAACATACCTCCTCAGTCAATCCCACAGTCACCTGTTCATCAAACAAAGAGATAATAAAAGCAGCAACTCCACCATTTCACTGCAACTCCCTGAAGACCACAAAGTGAAGACCACTGAATATAGGAATCAAACAAACAAAATCTAAGCAATTTTCTTTCAAAAATGATGAGGACCTTCATATTTAACCACCTTGCATGTCCCTCTTAATGCGCAATTAACCAAACAATGAATTAAAACATAGAGAGATATTTCTGGGATAGTGTTCTTGCCATCATATAGAGTTCCATGGCCCAGCAAAATCACCAAACTTGCCAGATTAAACACAGCACTGCAACGTTGCAATACTGACATTCAAATTTTCTGGCAAATAAAATGCTTAAATTTAATTTTGGAACTTTCTTATCAGTCAAAAGCAGAAATTTTCTGGAATTACAATATCTAGGACAAAAATGTACAGAATCCATCCAAAGGCAGGATAGTATATTCGCATCCAATATCAAAAACCTTTAAACTAAACCCCCCATACACCTTTCTCCATCAAAGAATACACAAAAACACCAAGCAAACTTTGAAAGAAAGAGTAAAACTTTTAACAGAAATCTGAATTTTCCTTGAACAACAACCGATCTCATGAATGAAATAAATTTTCATCATATAAAACCATCAAAATATTCTTCCTATACCAACAAAAAATCAAAGTAGTTAACTGTACAAAGCAGGCAGCAAACAAGAAAACATTTTTTGGGATTGGATTTGTTTTCCTCAAGAACATCAACTTCAAGCTTTAACACCCATCAAAGAACCCACAATTCAAAACCCAAAATTAAAAAAAAAAAAAAAAAAACTTATTGGTGAAACCCATTAAAGCTTTTAAGAAAAGAATGAAAAAGTTACACTTTTTGAACTTACTTTTTCCCTATAGAAGAACAAAGCAAACCCCTTTGCTTCTGCTTCTGTCTCATCCAAATTTGGCAGCAATGTTTGATCCATAAAATAACCAAAAATTAAAAAAAAAAGATTTAAAATTTACCAAAGCATTAAAGTAGAAAATGGGAGCTGCAAAAAAAAGGTGGAACTTTGGACATAAGGAGCATAAGGGTCAGCTCGTCTCTGTAGAACTGGGGAGGGTTCTTCCAGCAGGCACCAAAACCAGACAATTGTGAAAACCTTTTTTTAAGGAAAGCAAGAAAATCTTCTCAAGAAATTTGGGTTTTATAGGATTTGATTGTGACAGCTTTGCTCTTTCAAGGAAAGTACTGCAAAAAAAAAAAAAAAGGCAGTTTATTAAAAAAATCAGTCCAAGTAGGAAAATTCTCTGCGGTAATTTGATCAGATTGCAAGTCAACATTTTAGACTTTATATTCATGTCCTGATTAATTAATTAATTATGATTTGAAATTATTTTTTGGTTTTTAAGAAGAATTTCCTTTAAAACTTTGTATTTATTTATTTGTTTTGCCAAGATCTCATCCTCTTTTTAAGTCCATAAATTTGGTCATGTGATTTGTGAAAAGAATCTAATTGGTTATTATCAACTTTTAGGTTGGTGGAATTTTTAATTTAAATTTTAATGATTACGTGGCAATCATTAATTGGTTTTTTAAGCGCTATCAAGATATTAATAAGGGAAAAAAAGGCAAAGACCAACCAGCCCAATTACGGTGTCGTTTGGCTTTTTTTTGTTGACAATTTTTCTCTTTGGTTTATTATTTATTATATTAATTTTTTATTTTTAAATATTTTTTAAAAATTATTTTATAATCTTGTTATAAAATTTTTAAACTATAAGGAATTGTAATAAATATTTTGTTTTCAATAAAATTAATATTTAATTCATTGGCAATGACAATAAAATTTTAAAATCTTTTCAAACTAAATTATTTATTAATCATGTATATATTCCAATTAAATAAACTTTTTTAATAATTAAATACATTAAATTTCTGATTTGCAATTACATGAATTTGTAAAATATTTAAGTAGAAAAATAGTCGTAAATCTTTTAATTAATAATATAAATAGATTGAAAAAGATAGTAGATTTCATTTGTTTTACAAGAAGAGAGAAGAAAGGCATGAGATGATGGGAGTAAGAAGTGGGACCCAATATCAAAGAAAAAATTGGAAAAGAAGTGGACATAAGGGACCTACCAAACACAAGATTTGGACCCACAAAATGGGGTGAGATAGCTGCTTAAGCTGTCTAACCACTTGCTTTGTGTCCACATCTTTTTCTTTTCTTTTTCCTCATTCGAGTCCCGTAACTAATCATGCAATCTTGAAAGGAAAATTTTGTGGGCCCCCCTCCCAAAAATTTTCAAAATAAAATTAATTTCAAGAATTTTTTTTATTATAAAATTTTCTTTAAAGTTTTATACGTAATATATTATATAAATATTATTCTCTTTATCTTTTTTCTTTACTAATATTTTTTGGGAATGCTTTAAACTTACGTCTTATTTTTTAAATATTTAAAATTTTTATTTTTGAAATAAAATTATGAAACTTTAATTTTATAAAAAAATTAAAATTTAATATTAAATATATTAAAGTCAAAATTTTTTTCTTAAATTTTATGAAAATCAATGCATAATAAATATTTTAAGAAGGAAAGTATAGATTATTGATGTATCATAAGTTAATATCTTATTAATGAATAAAACTAAAATTTAGAAATATTATAAAATATATAATTAAAAAAATATTTTTAAGGGTTCTAAAATTTTAAATTTTTTAATAGTTGATGTGATAATTTTATGATGTATTGATAATATAATGTATTTATACATAATAATGCATTAAATATAAAAGAAAAAAAAAACTAGGGTTGGCTCATCTCCACTAAACAATAATTCTCTATCAATCTTGTAGTAGGTAATATTTGACCTTTATTTGTCTTTGCTGCTAAGAAGAAAAACCAAAATTTTCAATTGCATTTTCAAGATATGTTGGCAGATTGAGCTTTCATTATTGACATTTACATGTTTTTCTTTATAACTTTTGAAAAATTTTGTTTACTTTCTTAAGAAATTTGATTGGGATTTACTTTTCTTGGAAAACAAAACAAAAATGCAATCCATTTGCAAAACATGCTTGTAGCTTTCATGGGATCATGCCCAAAATGTCCAATTTATACAACTTCTCAAGTTTTAATTTCGAAAACTTTTGATAAATGTTTTTTATTTTTATATTTTGCTATTAAATTTTATAAAAAAACAAAAAAATTAAATCAGAACCGAACTAATTAACCCGTAGGAATATTTATAAAATTTCAAAAACCAACATCTAAATCAATTAATTTAATGCAAAAAATTACACTTCCTCTTTGGGTACATTTTAAAAATTTATTGTTACAACTGATTAAATTTGAAAATTAGAAAGTCCTAGTTGGTATAGGTGAAACCAGGACAAGGGAAAATCATATAGTGAATTCAACGAGAAAAAAAAGTCAAATAATATATTTTATGAAAAAAAAAGTATTATATATACATAAAGGTGTTAAAATTTTCTTAGGAAGACCATGACCTATGCCTATTCTCTTAACTATGTTCCTGCTCGTGGATTTAGTATTTTGTATCATCGTATCATCGTATTATATTTTTGTATTAAATATATGATATATTTATTATATGTGTTACACTTAACACGATACGATTAATATATTTAAAATTAATTTATATTCAATTAATATAACATAATACAATATAATTAACATGATTATATACGAATAATATGATTAGATACGATAAATTATTAAAATAATACGATACGATACAACACGATTAATATAATATATGCTAATAATACGATTAGATATGATTAATTTATTTATTTAAATAAAAATATCATTTAAATTAGTATTTAAATAAAAAAATTATTTAAAAATTAAATATTTATAATATATTTAAACATCAAAATAATAAGATAAATATGATTATTAATTTATTTTTTAAATAAATTAAAATAAATTTTAAAAATTTTTATATTATAAATAGTATCATATTTTAAAAATATTGTTATCATTAATACAAATACGATATGATTAATACCATATTTTAATCATATCGATATAATTAAAATATAAAAAATAATTACATTAAATTCATACATAATTTTTTTCGTGTTATGCTAAAATGATCAAATTTACCTACTCGTTGAAGATGGGTCCAGATTCTTTTGGAATTTCTATTGGGCCCTTGTTCTAGAATTTATTTATTAAATTGTCCTATTAAAATGTGAGCTCTGGAAATCTTTTTAGTTTTTGCATGCCGACTTCTTAAAGTAAAAAAAAAAAAAAAATTAAATATGGTAAGTAGGTTGTGAGTCAACTCCTCTAAATTATTTTATAAATCATTAACAAGTAATAATATATTTAAAAATCACTATACCTACATATGGCTTTTCCTTTTCGTTGATGCACTTTTGTTTCGATAAACACGAAACTAGATGGAGGTTAAGTTGGTGAACGTATCAGATCCGTTAAAAAAAAAAAAAGGGAATATTAATTTTAAAGCGCGCTCTAAAGTCTAAGTTCAAATTGCAGCTAAGCTCTCATTGTGTAAATCAAAAGTTTTATAGGTAACCAATGTTCATGTCTTATTTTCCCTTTCTCGATTTTCCCTAATAATTAGCTTCTATGGGGTTTGCATTTTGCAAAAGGCAACATTGAATTTGTTTTATGGCTAGCATAATTAAAAAAAAAGTGTAATGTGGACAAAGCTTTCTTTTAATATTTTGTTGTTGACTAGTATTTTTTTGTTATCTCCCTCTGATTTTGTGCAAAAGATTTGTTTAGTACTTGATCTATCGGGCTGGTCAACAGGCTAAGTTTTCTTTAGTCTTAGAAACAATTTTCTTTTAATCACCTAATCTTCTAGATTCGAGTTGGCATAGGATAGTGTATTATTCCTTTGGTCGACTACCCTGACACCAAGACTAATGGACAAACTTCAACTTGAAAATAGATATATTATGGGTTAAATATAAAAAGGGTAAATGTATTACATATTTTTGTTAATTTAATATTAAAAAAATAAAATTTTTACTTTGATAATCAAATATTCATTTCATCAAATATTTTGGTGTTTTAGACTTATATCATTAGTCAAGTTAATTACGTAACATTAATATCTAATAAAATCATGATACGTGATATAAATGTATAATTATCGTCGGATCCTTTATTTTTCATGTCACATTCTTAAAATTTTTTTATTTTAAAAAGGTATATTTTATTTTTTTAATTTTTTATTAATATGATAATGATTAAATATTTATGACATGTATCATGATTTTATTGGATATTTATACCCATCAATCACTTAACTGACGATGATGGTATAATAAACCAAAATGCTTAATGAAATAACCGTTGAAAGATCAAAATAAAAATTTTATATTTTTAAATACTAAATTGATAAAAGATGAATAGTGCAGGAGCCATTTTACATGTTAACCCGTATATTATTATTTAGACACGTAATTATGGGTAATTTTTATTAATAACGATCCTTAATTTTTTTATTTTTGATTTAATCTTTAATAATTTAATTGTTCTACTTGAATCCTACCCTTTTAAAGTAATTTTATATTCGCCCTTTTATTATATTATTATATTAATATTTGAAATAAATTGTTCATATTGGAAAACCAAAGAAATGTTCACATGACATTCATATAATCCACTCTGTGTACATTGCATCAATTTTAACCAGACAATTTGAAGAAATGATCAGATTGAAATCATTCTGAAAAAAAATATTAAGGAATCAAATGAAACAATTCAAAAGTTAAACTGAAATCAGAACATAAAATTAGGGATCATAAGTGAAATTTACCCGTTATGGATTGATATATACTCTTATATTTAATTTTTTTATTAGGAGATTTTTACATTAAACTAGTTTAATTTCCTATAATCAACGAAGTTTTATGTTTTGAAGACTGATGACGAATGATCCTCCGAGGTTAGTCCAATCATAAATTAATTATTATTTTTATATGATATTTATGTTCTCCTTATCTAATTGGTTGAAGAGCTCCATCGAATTGGGGAGTCCAATTCTGCCTAACCTATAAATGCTAAACTAATATCTTTTACAAGATTTTGGTTATCCTAGTTTATCAAGCTAGCCAGCCAGCTTTTTTCGATAATTTGTGATGAGTTTTCAAAGTCAAAATTTGATCTCTTACCTGAATTCGGACTTTTTCATGTTGACTTAAAACTTCATTTCTTCTCATTCAAACTTCTTGCGTTTATTCTTGAAAATTTTGATCATATTACATTACCAATAAACCTAACATGTACTTTATTATTGATTATTGTATTTTTAATTTCAATGATTATGTTCAAATTTTAATAGTTTTGAATGTCAAAAAATCTTTTTCGAGATTATTATTATCAATTTTATTTTTTCTAAAATTTTTGTAATTTTATATTAAAAAATATTCAAATACTTGGCAATTCGATTATCTAACAACTTAAAAGCATTAAAGATATGTTTGGTACATAAAATTATGATATGATAAGATAAATAATATTATAAATAAAGTTAAATTAAATAATATCATTTTTATCTTATATTTGATATGTGCAAATATTATGATAAGATAATTTATTTATTGCTTAAATTTATTTTTTTCAAAGTTTTATACAATTTAAATTATTAATATAATTTTTAAAGGTATAATAGGATATATAAATTCAACATTATGAATTAAAAATAATTCTCTTCACTTTGTAATTTTATCTCTTTTTTAAATTAATACTAAACATATTATAAGATAATTATCATTATCATATCTATCATTTTATATACCAAATATAACTTTAAGTTAATGAAATTAAGTCGGCAAGTATCTCGGGAAAAATAACACGCCTCCAACCTGTCAAAGAGAAAATAATGATCAAAAGGATGTGGAAATTAAAATTTCGAAATGTAATTCAACTTTTAAATTAGTGGCTACTAAGAAAGTGTTGGTTCCACGACCACTTTATATCGATGTAGATTTTGTGCATTGGTGACTGAATAATGGTATCAAATGAAGAATCGAAAACTAATAAGAAATGACTTCAAGACATGCTATGAATTAAAAATAAAGAGGAATTGAGTGTGAGATTAGAGTTGTATCCCCTGCAAAATACTAAAAAGAAAGAAAGCTTGCCAAGATGTCAATAATTAGGAGTGTAATCGATTGAGTTTGAATCAATATAATAATAAGTTGGAGTTCGATTTAAAATTAAAAATTCATAACTTAACTCAAATTTGATGAAATTTTATTTTTTTAGTTTGAGTTCGACTCGAGATAGAAATCGAGCTATTCAAATTAGCACGATTAGATTCAATTAATATGTAAAAATAAGTTTAATTTTTATATCCGATAAAAGCTCAATTATTTATGCTATAATTCTAGCTCAAGTTCGATATATTTTATTGATTAAAATAATTAAAATATAAAAATTAAATTAGACTTATGAACTATTTGAATCAGATATAAGAATGTTCAAACTCGATTCGATCGATAAATTGAGTTACTTGAATTCGAATTCGACTCGATAATAATTGAATCGAATTCAAATTTTATTTTAATCATATTCAAATAATTTATGAGTAATAATGTATTATTTACATTTATATCAACAATGAACGAAAAATATAAGGTGATAAAAACTGAAAAAAGTTAGCTTATCATGCTTCCTTCTCACTCCCACCCACACCCCAAATTGATGGCTTCAAGTGGCAGGAAATTAATTGCATGTGGGAACACTTCCATCACAAGCAATCTGCCTTTGACTGCTCCCCACCTTTAGCTCTATTCATATATACCTATTCCACAAGGATCCCATTAATGGATGTCTATAAATATTTATCAAGATTAGTTTAAAATTTTATTTTGATAAATAATTTTCATTTAAAGGTGAAAAATGGACAAATTTGAGTTATTTCAAATTTATTTCGGATTTCAATTGTTTTGAATTATAATTATTTCGGATTTATATAAAATTTAAGTTTAAATTCTCTTATATTTGAATCATTTTTAGTTCAAATTTTCTTAAATTCGAGCATTTGAGTTTTTCTTTTTATTAAATTGAGTTGAGATCAAATTTTCGAATTCATTTTTTTTTGTCACCTCTACCCTTGTCCATAAAAATTTCCCATTCATCAAAGTGTGGAAACAAAGGAGGAAACTTCTATCTACTTGAGAATGGCAAGACCCAAAGACAGCATGCTAGCCTCATAATTTTATAGAGTTATATATCTATTCTCATAATAATTATCATTTCATTAAAGAAAATTATTTCTATCCAAGTTGTATTGTAGAACCAAACAAGGAAAAAAAAAACTCAACAGGGTCCAAATACATTACTGATTTGACAATGGAAAGTAGTTTTTATCCCAACATTTGCTATGTTTAGAACTTGTCCCCAATGCTTTGTTTGTGGGTGGGGCTGCTTTCTATAATGCACATAAACAGAAAAAAGTGGAGCATGCACTGTTTTGATTGCAAACACCCACTCTATCCAAAAGGTAACTTACTTTTCATTATTCTTTTATTTTTTTTATCTGTCCTAGTTGGAAGTAAAGGAGAGCCTGAGTCAGCTTACAGAATCAGCCAATGAATATGCAGTTTGCTAGGATTGAAGGTTGATTTGATTTGCCTAATTGTGAATGGAAAAGACTCCCCTTGCTACCAAGTATGCCAAGATAAGGTGGTTTGGCTATGTGTCATGGTAACAAAAAGGAGTCATGTATGTTGTGTATTAAAATTCAATTTGTGAAACACTTTTCTGAGATAAAATTATGGGTCTAATAGGAAGAAACAAATGATATTTTATAAATTAGTATGTATTATAACATTTGATATCAAAATTACTTTTAGAGATATTAGTAATATACTATTGAAAACAATGAACATTTTATTTTTATTAGAGTGAGAGAGAATGTCGTTATAAATCTTGCAAACAAAAATTCAATTTAAGATATATACGGTCATTTCTTACAAAAATTCAATTTAAAATATATAGATCATTTCGTTTTTAACTTGTAAAATATTTTTTATAAAATAAAATTATAAGATTTAATAGATTCAAATGATATTGATATATAAATATATAAATTATTAATATTTTATTTTATATAAATACATGATTTATCAAATTTATTAATTAAAACCGTGAAACTATGCCTCTGACATAGTAATCTGTAAAGAGGAGAGCATTTAAGCCCAATCAAGATCTTTTTACTTTGCTTGTGCTCTCCTATTGAAATAATTAACAAGTTGTCCATTTGTGAAGTATATGAACGATTCATGGAAAGTCTATGAAAGAAGTTAAAGATCTTCATGTTTGGTCTGCAATAACTTCTTCGGCTTTGAAAATTGTGTAGCTTTGCTTCTTATGTCAGTAGAGATTTGAAAATCAATTAAAGTTCATTTATTATTTTCATACCCAAGTTTTGTTCAGCAAGAAAAAGAGAGACCAACACCTGATTTAACCCAGCTCCTTCTTACATGGGCCTACCTGCAACCGCTTCATTAAAACGATTCAAACCGAAACCGTTGTAACAAATTGGTGAGCTTGCCTATTTCCCTCAAAAAAAAAAAAAAACGTGCAGTAAGCTTCCGTTTGGCTTTTGAAATTTTTTTCATTTTTCATTATTTGAATGACTAAAAATAGTAAAGCTAACAGAAAAACATAAGGCAAAACACAGGAAATTCCCGTTTCTTACGGGCGAAAGACAATTTTCAAAACACCAAATCTTCAACTCAGAAATTACAATCAGCTAACTCTATTTTCACAGACTGAAAATTGTATTTTTGATAAATTTTAAATTAGTTTTGAGGTTTTATTAAAGAATTAAATTTTTTAGGTGACAACTAATATAAAAATTGATAATGACTTCTTATTTTTATTTTAAAATTTGTTTTAGCGGTCAAGTTTCCAGACCTCCACGTTAATACAAGTGAAGTGAAATTTATGGGATGAAAAAGAGTTATCTCTCATTGTGCAATGTGAATTAATAATATATAAAATATACATAATACACTAACAATACTAATTGATTCATGTAATCATCCTTAAGTCTGATATTCAAATTTCATATCCCTTGACTTAAATTATAATGCATGTTGTCCTTAGCATTTTATGTATTGACTAAAATTATAGCAAGTAAATAAAGTGAATGAGAAGAGATCCAATTACAATGCAAACCAAAAACACTTTAGTTCATAACCTTTTGCTATCTTTCTCTTTCCCCTTTGATCAACTCACTCCCTCTTCCTCTGCTCATCAGATCAGACCTTGGTTTGAAATCAACACCCATTTTGTCCATTAATTCCAAACTTTTATTTTACGAAAAACTTGATTTTTTTCCATATTACATCCAACTTGGAATGCTTACCATCATGAGAGCCCTAAGAACCCTCTTGATGATGCAGTCGACGCCTATGGTGAGCTCTCCTATGGGCACGACTCCGTGCTCTGCTTGGCATACTTGCAGGGGTAGCGCGATGAATCTCCTCTGATGTAGCTGTAGAACCAAAAATACAATCTAGCGGGTCCATCAAATCAATACCAGAGTTCACCTGGAATAACAAGGCAGTTGGAAAACCTGTCAAATACTGATTAAGCATATACAGAATAATCACAAAATATTGGCTTTGAATACTATAACTAGGAAGCAAAACAAAAGAAACGAGCCCATTTTTTCGTCGTCTTGGGCTAGTGGCTAAGAAAATATGTCTAGAAGTCTATGTTCTACATCTAAATGCACCTTCTTAAACAACTTCATTATAACAATGCAAAAATGTTGTGACAGTTTGGAAGAAACTCAGTGCACTTAACAGGAATTTGCTCAGACCTTAAATCAGTCCTTTTTCTGTAAGAGTTATTGTGGATATCACTGGGGATGTCATTATGGGACACGTCCTGAGAATTATCATGAGTTCCTTGATCCTGATTGATATTATCATTAAAGAAATTTCGATAACGCCATCTTAACCTTGGCCCTGATGATGATGAATCATCAAATACTTCCTCCACATAAAAATGTTTAGAGATAAGTTGCATCTTCAAAGGATCATGCCAATATTTCTTCACTATTCTGTTATTTCACCTTCAGCTTATGAATAAGAAACTTAAGCAAAAGTAACTGTATACAGATATCTATTGACATGCAACAATTGAACATATAAGCAGATGCCAAGAACATATAAGCAGATGCCAAGAACATATAGAGAAGAAATCATTGACTGTTTAAAAGTGCAGTACTTGTTACATAAATTTGTTTAATCTGACATTAACTTTGTGTTTAACTTGAAGAAAGTATGAAACAAAATGATAAAAAAGATTTGAGCATCATCTGATGAAAAATTGGCAGATACCATTCAAAGAAAAAGAAATTCAAGTAAAAATTCATCTTTACCTAATAACAAAAATTTTCAAAGATCATTTCCTAAACCCATACAATTATCAATATTACCTTTAAGAATGCAAATGACCTATTGTTCCTCTTAAAAATAAACACCAAAATCTATGAAACATGTATAATGATAAATCCAAGAAAATGACATTTAATTTAATTATTGATTTAATGCTTGTAGAATTTATTCTTATTATTGATGTGAACCTTATAAGTCTCCAGGATTTCAGAAACCAAATTACAGACATATACCCTGTTATTTCAACTTTAAAGGCAACATATGAACAATGAATCCAAGGAAAGTAAATCTGTTAACTTAGTAAAGGATCTAAGGGACCAAGCATGTAATTTAGTCACCATATTTCTGGTATCTCTATGAACCCCTTTACTTTATCTGGAAAATTTCCCTTTACTTTATCTGGAAATTTTCATCACAAAATAGTAAATGATACATACATATTTGCTAATTCTCTCTGCATCCGAGTTCCATCTAACGCAAGAATATGGTCAACGCTCGAATATAGTGATCTATCAAATCTCAAAAGTCCAAGAATTGAGGCAGCTCCTGCATAAAGTTAAGACTGAATTGTCATTAAAAACAACAGATCTAATGAGTGCTTCTGCATATTCATGTATGTCTGTGGGTGAATATGATAAGCCAGAGACCGCCTGAAAGGTTTATCCGAAGTAACCAATGCAGCTTCCATGTTGCTGCCAGAAAGGATAAAAAGTTACCAGAAATCCTAAAAATAGGACATCCAACACAGTTGTTCAATAAGTTGAAAAAACAAAAACCTGGTTCTTACCTAAATGATTTGAGAATTATTGAGATAATTTTAAGTACATGAGTAACACATGAAAATAGAGCAGCAGAATCAATACCAAAGGGAAATTATACTGTGAGAGTATGAAGTCAACAAAGAACTTCACAAGTATTTTACCATCAAATGGAAGATCATAGCTTTTGCATAAAAGGCAAGTGTGTCTGCAATGTCTCTTCATTTTTATTATGTCCAGGGGCCAAAATGAACTAAATACTATCATAGCTTTGTAAGGTTTGGTGGCTAAATGTAACCCAAAAAAAGAAAACACATTAAGGACCCAATAGCCGCTACATAGAATATGTAATGTTCAATTGTTCATAGTCTCAACTCTTGAAAGCACATATTATCAAAGTAAGAGAAACTTCAAGCTTCAAAGACCCAGTACTACAAATCTAGAATGAATTCATACATGCAACAAAATTTCAAAATATAAAAAGCCACTTTCGGAAACAAAAATCAATAAGAACAAGACTAAAACAGAACATCATTCATAGCAGAAGACAAAGTCTGTTAATTATTAAAAGAAAAAAAAGGACCAAGTATCACGAAGCACCAGCAAATACATCAATCCCCAATCTTGCTTGGTCTTATGCTTCATATATTAAAACCCATACCTATGAATATGCATTCAAATACAAAGATCCAGCAATAATGCCAGTCACGCTTGGCCTTATGCTTTGTATATTAAAACCCATATATACGAATACGCATTCATATACAGAGAACCATCAATAATGTGCTTCAAAGCATCAAGGTACCTGCCCAGACAAGACCACCTCCAGCAATTATACCAGCCATAAACTGATCCACTGCTTGAAACTTGTAGCTTTGAACAATATCGTCCTCTTGTGGGGTCAATTGCTACTTACAAAAGAACACACATTTTAAGGTAACAATGCTATAAAAATAACTGATGCCACCACAACTAATATCTACACAAATAAATGATTTTGAAACAACTTTTATTACTTTTCAGTCAGTTTCTTCTCCTTCTGTTACATGGACCACAAAGCAAAGAAATTATTTTCGGATTCATAAGTGAAAGGTGTTTAAAAGATGGAAAAATGAACGAAATGATGAGTTAGAAGGCAATTAAAGAGTACCTTTCTGGACCTGAGATCAGCTTCAAGTTCCAACAAAGCGCCAGCCATTCTGCTTCAGCTTCCTTTTTTTTCTATGATGATAATAACTGATGAGGGTTTAGCAGTGAGACTCACTTGAACCTGTAGGAAAAAAAACTCGTTCACGTTCTCGGCTCCTGGCCCAATTTTGTTTATAGCATCGCCCAGGGAATCCATGCCTTCTAAGCATTAACCTGAATACTATTGGGCCCATTGGTACTCTTGAAAAAAGTTGATCTTGTTTATTTATGAAATTAAAATATAACATGAATCATCATATAAATATAATATAAAAAATTATAAAAATAACATAATTTAAAATTTTAATAATAACTATATATAAGTTATAAAAAATAAAAAAATATATTTCATATTTTTCATATCGATATGAATTGTAATATATAACTTTTATATAAAACAAAATATAAATAAACAAATCTAAGTATTTTATACAACATGAATCATCAAATCTAATCTTCACTAATCTTGGATAAAAAACAATTTTTATAGTAATAAAAGTTGAATTTTGTTCGGTGTGTTTTAATTTTTATTTAATTTTTGAATAAAATAAATGGAAAAGTATTATCAATTTTTAAAAGTAAACCAAAAAAAATGGCATGTAAATTATATAAAAATTTTAAATAATAAAAAAATACCTTAAATCTGAAATAAGAGTAAGACAAGAGAAAGAGTAACATTAATAAATATTTTTATAATTAATATGAGTTAAACAAAAATATATAACTAAATAAAAAATAAAGGCAATAAACAGTAGATATTTTATATTGATAAATGTGCTATTATCTTTTTAAAAATTATTATGATTTTGACGTAAAAATTATTATATAAATAAATAAAGAAAAATGATAGTAATCCATCGTATATCTATGTTAATTTAAATATGCAAAAAGGCTTCTTAAGTTTTATGAAGATTCATAAATATATATTATTGCATGAACCAGGTAAGCATATTTCTGTCTTTCATTCAATTCATGGTTTACATCTGAAGAAGCTAATTACAGATATTACCTTTCGATTACAACATGCACAACAATTTAAGATTAAATGCTCAATTTAAAATATAATATTTTGATCAATTTTTAATTTAAAACATAATTATATAATGGCTAAGAACCCTAAAAACACTTCAACAACATGGGAAGTCAAAAGTCAAGTTCATGGTTTAGTTAGTGGAAGAGCTCTATCGAATTGAGGAGTCCAATTCTGCCTAATTTATAAATGTTAAACTAATATCTTTTATAAGATTTTGGTTATCCTAGTTTATCAAGCTGGCCAGCCAGCTTTTTTCAATAGTTGTGATTAGTTTTCAAAGTCCAATTTTGATCTTTTACCTGAATTCGGACTTTTCAATTTGACTTAAAACTTCATTTCTTCTCATGCAAACTTCTTGCGTTTATTCTTGAAAATTTTGATCATATTATATTATCAATAAACCTAACATGTACTTTATTTATAGAGCATTGTACTTTAAATTTCAATGATTAGGGCTCACAATCTAATAGTTTTGAATGTCAAAAAATCCTTTTCAAGATTATTACATTCAAATTTATTTTTTCTGAAAATTTTGTAACTTTATATTGAAAAATATTTAAATAATTGATAATCTGACTATCTAAGTACTCAAAAGAATTAAGGATATATTTGGTATACAAGATTATAATAGAATAAGATAAGATAATATCATAAATAAAATTAGATTAAATAAAATTATCTTATCTTGTATTTGATGTATGCAAAAATTATGATAGAATAATTTATTTATTGCTTAAAATTATTCTTATTTTAAGTTTATACAATTTAAATTCTTGATGTAATTTTTAAAGATATAATAAGATATATAAATTTAATCTTATAGATTAAAAATAATCTTCTTTACTTTGAGAAGAATGAATCATATTATATCAAGATGATGATTAATCTTTCTTATAATCCTATTTATTTCTTTAGATATAAATCAAATATAAAATAAAATGATTATAATCCTATCATATCCATTATTTTTATGTACCAAACATGATTTTAGGTCAATAAAATTAAGTCCGCAGGTACCTTGAAAAAAATAACACGCCTCCAACCTGTCAAAGAGAAAATAATGATAAAAAAGATGTCAAAATTAAAATTTCATAATGCAATTCAACTTTTAAATTAGTGTCTTCTAAGAAAGTGTTGGTTCTACGACCACTTTATATTGATGCAGATTTTGTGCATTGGTGACTGAATATTGGCATCAAATGAAGAACAAAGCTAATACGAAATGACTTCAAGACATGTTATAAATTAAAAATAGAGAAGAATTGAGTGTGAGATAAGTTGTATCCCCTGCACAATATTAAAAATAAAGAAAGCATGCCAAGATGTCAATAATTAGGAGTGTAATTAATTAAGTTTGAGCCGATATAATATTAAGCTCGAGTTTGAGCTCGATTTAAAATTTGATATTCAAAATTCGATTTGAACTCGATTGAGTTTTTTTTTTTTTTTTAACTCGAGTTCGCTCGAAATAAAAATCGAGTTACTTGAGCTTGCTCGATTAGATTCGATTAACATGTAAAAATAAATTCAATTATTATATTCGATAAAAGCTTGATTATTTGTATTCGAACCCGAGTTCAAGTTTGAAATATTTTATAAATTAAAATAATTAAAATATACTAAAATATAAAAACTCGATTAGGCTCACGAGCTACTCAAATCAGATATAAGAATATTAAACTCGATTCGATCCATAAGTCGAATTACTCAAACTCAACTCGATAATAATCGAACCAAATTCAAATTTTATTTGAGTCAAATCTGAGTAATTTGTAAGGATTAATATATCATTTACATCTCTACCGATAATAAAGGAAAAAGATAAGGTGATAAAAACTGAAAAAAGTTAGCTTATCTTGCTTCCTTCTCACTCCCACCGACACCTCAAATTGATGGCTTCATGTGGGAAAAATTAAGTGCATTTGGGAACACTTCCATCACAAGCAATCTGCCTTTGACTACTCTCTACCTTTAGCTCTATTCATATATACCTATTCCACAAGGATCCCATTAATGGATGTCTATAAATATTTATCAAGGTTAGTTTAAAATTTTACTTTGAAAAATATTTTTTCATCTAAAGGTGGAAAATGGACAAATTTGAGTTATGTCGAATTCATTTCCAATTTCAATTGTTTCAAATTGTAATAATTTAGATTTAGATAAAATATGAGTTTGAATTTTTTTATATTTGAATTATTTCGAGTTTAAATTTTCTTAAATTTCGAGTATTTGAATTTTTTTTTTTATCAAATTGAGTTGAGATCATATTTTTGAGTTCATTTTCTTTTTTGTCACCTCTACCTTTGTCTATAAACATTTCCCATTCATCAAAGAGTGGAAACAAAGGAGGAAATTTCTATCTACTTGAGAATGGCAAGACCCAAAGACAGCATGCGAGCCTCATAATTTTATGGAGTTATATATCCATTCTCATAATAATTATCATTTCATTAAGGAAAACTATTTCTATCCAAGTTGTATTGTAGACAAGGAAAAAAAAACTCAACAGGGTCAAAATACATTACAGATTTGACAATGGAAAGTAGTTTTTAACCCAATATTTGCTATGTTTAGAACTTGTCTCCAATGCTTTGTTTATGGGTGGGG